GGTGGCGGCGCAGCAAGGGAGGGGGCCGTCCTCCTCTTTCTCCTCGTCGTCCTCATCATCCATACATTGCAGCTCTCGTCTTCCTCCTCCTCGTCCCCCCCCTTTCCACCCCTCGCCGTCGTTCTCCTCCTCTCCCTCCCCCTCCCCCTCCCACGGCGCTGAGCGAACGCAGCGCCCCCAGGAGAATTTCGTCAGGCACGGCCCGGCACACGAGGCAGACGGACGCGCACTACTTGCTAATGCGCGACCCTGTCGCCACGGACTACGTGTCCAACATGTTCGTTTACTGGATCAAGACGGTGGAGCAGGCCACGCTGACCCACCACGAGATTGAGGACGAGCAGCGCGACCGCTTCGTCGTGGCGCAGCAGCGCGCAGAGGGCGACGAGAAGAAGCACGGCGCGGACGAGATGGAGGAGAAAGGCGACCCCGTGGAGCAGCACGATGTGGGCGAGTTCGACGGCGCAGACGGCCCCACGGTGCAGCGGATCCCCTTCGGCAACTTCATCTCCAAACACCGCCCGAGCGAGCCGAAGAACGGCCTCGATAACTACTGCTTCACGCTGAACAACACCCTGCGGCTGGCGAAGAAGCGCGGGCAGTTCCAGGACAGCGACGAGGAGCAGACCGAGAAGGCGGTCCAGGACACTCTCCACTGACTCTAGAGTAACTTGCTGGACGGGGGGCCGACTTCGAGGGCAAGCAAAAGAATCTGGAGGGCATCGTCGACTGCATCTCGGTAACAGTCGACCCGAAGTATATGCTGCTCTCCCTCCACCCTGAGGCGGATAAGATGCAGTGCGGAGATACGGGCTCCAACTCCAGCGACCTGGAGGACGAGGAGGCCGACGAGGCGCTGGCCGTCGTGGGCGACGGGACGAAGGAGGCCGACGAGGACGACACGGACGAGAGCTCCGCCGTCATCCTGGCAGCACTCCACAGCGCCACCCTGGAGCACACGCGACGCGCAGAGGAGGCGCGGACGGAGTACGAGAGATTGAAGTCGTCCCTGGAGACCAGGGTGAGAAAGCTGAGGGCACCGTCGAGGCTAGCGCCTCCTGTTGGCCCTGCGAAGGTGTTCGTGCATGGCCGCGTGCGGGACGCGGTGCAGAGTTGGGTGAAAGACTCCTCGAGAGTCGGCGGGTCCTGGCTCACGTGGAGAGAGGGAGTGCGAAGGCATTCCGATGGGCCGTCAGTCGGCCGTGCGTTCGTGTTCACGGCATTCGGAGTCGTCCTGCCCAGAGCTCCCAGAGAGTCCTCCTCCTCCTCCTCCTCCCTCCTCCTCCTCCTGCTCCTCCTCCTCCTCCTCCTCCTCTCCCTCTCCTCCTCCCTCCTCCTCCCCTCGTCGTCCTCTCCTCCTCCTCCTCCTCCTCCTCCTCCTCCTCCTCCTCCTCCTCCTCCGGCATGCACGTCCGCAGCCAATTTGGCTCAAATCGCTCCCCCGTGGGCCCTCTCATACTGGCCTGGCACGTCGCACTGCCGTGTGCGGCGCGAGGCGGCCCCCAGACGCCGTTCGTTTTTCAGAGCTTGGCTCCCTGGATCGGGGATCTACTGTTTGGTCGGGCCTGTCCCCCTACAGGGGGATTTTGGACGAAAAATAAAAAATACTTAAACACATAATCAAAAGATGCCCCAAAATACTCCAAAAAAAAAGTTCCCAGTAGAGGGACAGGCCCGACTTAAATCTACTGTCGGCGGCGAGCGAAGGGGGGAAGTGAGAAGGAGAAGGCCTTCTCAGAAGGCGGCGGGACGTCTCAGAAGCCCTCGCGCCTTCTGAGCAATTCTTGCTGTACTCGGGGGAAGCTTAGAAAACTGCTCAGAAGGCCCGGGAACTTCCGAGCCTTCTGAGAAGGCCTTCTCCTTCTGACCCCCTCCTCGCTCGCCGCCGATACTGACCCTGGTCGTTGCAAACCTGGGCCAGTCGTGCTCTGCAAGATCCTGCAGGATCCTGCACGTTGGCCCGGATCAGTGCACCCCTGGCTCTGAAGCATCCTGCAGGATCCGGCGCTCTGACCCCCGTGTGCACTGGCCTCGTCTCAAATCTCCTGCCTGGCGACTCCTCCTCCTCCTCCACCTCCTCCTCCTCCTTCTCCTCCTGACCTTCGACGTGCGAGGAGGTGTTCAGGCGTTCTCGTCGGCTCTTGAGGCTTTCTGGCCTTTTTGGGTTTTGGGCTACCGGGATAAGCCTTTCATCCCGAAACCATGGTTAGACTTCCTGCGGGGCCCAGTGAGGGAACGGGGGCGGGACTTGCCGGCAGCAGCAGCAGCAGCAGCAAGAAGTCATACACCAGGAGGTTCGCAGGACACGAACGTGGAAGCATCTGGAAAATGGGCATCAACAGTACACAGTTCATTCAGCACCACAGCTGCACTTGCCAGGAGAGGTTGGATACTCTCACGACTCGAGAACGTCTTGTTTTCGGGCTGTGACTCGGGCCTCTGGCGGCCGTCCGGGACGAGTCGGGCACCTCCTGAAAGCTCTCGGCCAGGCGCAGTGCAGGAGAGCACCCAAAACCCCAAAAGGCCAGAAAGCCTCAAGAGCCGACGAGAACGCCTGAGCACCTCGCACGTCGAAGGTCAGGAGGGGGAGGAGGAGGAGGAGGAGGAGGAGGAGGAGGAGGAGGAGGAGGAGGAGGAGGAGGAGGAGGAGGAGGAGGAGGAGGGGGAGGGGGAGGAGGGGGAGGTGGAGGAGGAGGAGTCGCCGCGCGCGCAGAGCTCAGAGCAGGCCGGCGGCGCAGCCGCGCGCGGCGGCCTCGGCGGACCCTCCGGAGCTGGCGGAGGCTGCCGCGGGTGCCCCACGCGGCACTTCGGCGCCAACGTCGGCACCCTGTCAGAGGACGGCCGCTGCGGCGGAGAGCTGACCAAAGTGAAGGGGCCCCAGGACACACAAATAAATACACACAAATAAAAAGATTCCCCATATTTTCCCATATTTTCTGGGTTTTTGTCTTCCCCCCCACTTCCCATATTTTCACATATTTTCTAGGGAATCGACGATTAATTGTGTCTGTGTGTTTTTTCCCTCCTGACAAAAACTCCTCACGGTCGAACTTGGCCGGAACGGAATACGACGACGTCGTGATTTTTTCGCAAGCTCTCCACAAGTCTGGACCCCTCCCCCGGGACCGTTCTGTGTTTCATCTTGGGTAGTCTTTTGACGTTCCCGCGAGGGCTCCCCGAGGCTTGGGGATCTGCTGACCCGGGTCAATGCAGACCCGGGTCAGTCGGGCCTGGCAAGATCCTGCACCCAAACCCGGGTCAATGCGAAGGATTCTGCAAGATCCTGCAGGATCCTGCACCCAGACCCGGGTCAATGCGACCCAGGCCCTGCAGGATCCTGCAAGATCGGGCGCTCTGGCTGACCCCGTTTGCATTGACCCCAGTCTCAAGGGCTCCCGAGAGGCCTCTCCCCACTTCCCTCCGGGCCTTCCTTGCTGTACTAGTGCCACATTCGCGCCGCAACAACCCTGCCGCAGCCGCGACCGCAAGCTGGATCCGAGGCGCCGCCGATCAAACAAGTGCCTTTCACAGAGCATGGATGTCTGAGTCCCCTCCTCTCTTCCTCCCCCTCCTCCTCCTCCTCCTCCTCCTCCTCCTCCTCCTCTCCTCCTCCACTTGTCTTCCCCCTTCCCTCCAATCCTCCCCTCCTGCTCCCTGGTGCTATCCCCCTCCCCTGCTGCTCCCTCCGCGCCTCCTCCCCTGCTCCCCTCCTCGACCCCCTGCCCTCCCCAGCACCGTAGCGCAATGTGCACGCGGCAACACAGCTTGACACAACATTTCACGTTGCGGGCGCGATTGCCACCACGATTGCTTGCGTGCTCTGTCCGACTGCGCGCCGCGCGCCTGACCAGAATCGTCCTGGTCCAGCGAGTGGAATGCGAGCTTCGCGCGCGTCTTGTTCGACGCCTTCCCTGCGCGCGGGCCCGGCGTGTAGTGCTAGAGGCGCTGAACGCAGCCAAGGATGGAGAGGTGAGGAGGTGAAGTGAGAATAGCAGGAACATTTCGAGTACGGAGATGAGGATGGGGACGGGAGAGGGTTCGAAGCCTGGGCTGTGGAACGCCAAGGGACTCCGTGAGCCAGGCCTTCCAGGGCAAGTGCACAGTGCCTCATGCCACCGCACGCATGCAAAGGCGGTAAACACGTGGGAGGCCAGGGGGAAGGGAACGGACCGCCTGCTGCTGCTATTGCCGCTTCTGCTGCGGTAGCTACGGCTGCCAATCCCGCCCTTTCTTACGAACTTATCTGACCTCTACCACTACGCCTCCGTCTCCGCCACGTCTACTGATATGTATACTGACACTGCTACTTCTGCTTCTACTTACCCGCCACCATGCCGCGGGGCGCTGAGCGGAGCGTTCCCAGCTCGTCAACAAACATTTCAAACCTCAACATGGAGGGTTCTCAAAACTCCTTTAGGGGATGAGTGCTTTCGGGAGAACGTCGCATGGCTCTTGGGGCGTCCCGTATGAATTCCACCAGCACTCTAGGGCGTGAGTGGTTTAACACGTTTTCTCTTCCACCCCCCCTGCTTCCCCTTCGGGGAGGGGTTTACGCCTTCCCCTCCTCCCTCCCCTTGGGTTTGGAGGGGGGTGGGTCGCGAGGCATTGAAGCGTCCAAAATGGCCTCGGCGAGGAAGCCAACATCATCGATTTTACTTAGGTTTTGGCCACATTTTGGTCTCCTGGGGGGGACCCTGATTCAGATGCTCTCCTCCTTTGAGCGTTTTCCTCCAAGATGGCTCCAAGGTAGCCCCCGAGGCTCCCAAGGGTGCCCCAAGAGGGCCCCAAGAAGGTCCCAGGAGGCCCCTAAGAGGCCCCCAAGAGGCCCCCAAGAGGCTTCCAAGAGATCTTCGAGAGACCCCAAGAGGCCCACCAGAGGCACCCACGACGATCCAAGAGGCCTCGCCGAGAAGGCCAACATCAACGATTTTACTTAGGTGTTTGCAACATTTTGGCCTCCTGGGGGAGGGACCTGATTAGGCAGCCCACCTGCTTTGATCGATCTCCTCCATGATGGCCCCAAACTGGCCCCCGAGGCTCCCAAGGGTGCCCCAAGAGGGCCGCAAGAAGTGCCCAGGAGGCCCCACGAGGCCCCCGAGAGGCCTCCAAGATGCCCCCCAAGAGACTACCAAGAGATCCCCAAGAGGCTCCAAGACGCCAACATCATTGATTATACGCGGGTTTTGGCCACATTTAGGAGCCCCCCTTCTTTGATCGATCTCTTCCAAGATGGCTCCACGACGGCCTTCGAAGCACCCAAGGGCGCCCCAAGACAGCCCCAAGAGGTGTCCGGGAGGCTCCCAAGAGGCCCCCACGATGCCCCCAAGCTGCCTCCAAGAGGGTCCCAACTGATCCCCAAGAGAACCCCAGAGGCACCCAAGACGCCTCAAGAGGCCCCCGAAACTGCCAAGAGATCCCAAAGATGCCACAAGAGGACTCCAAGAAGCTGTCGAACGACATCCGAAGAGACTCCGAGTGGCATCCAAAAGGCCTCTGGTCCTTCTACCCGCCCTCTTCCTCCTCTTCCTTATCCGCGAAATCCTCCTCCTCCTCCTCGCTTCTTTTGTCTCCCTCCTCCTTCCTCCCCCTCCCTCTCCATTCCCTTGTACATGACTCCTCCCTGTCGCATACCGAGACGTGTTGGTAGGGCAAGACGGGCGTTCCGCCTGAGACTTCCTCATCACTTGTGATCCTCAAACTTGAATTTTGCAACAATTTCACGGATACATGGCGGGAGCTCGTCTTAAAGAATTGCAATTTCACGTATTGACGACGGACCATTTTTAAACATGTGGCTCTCGCCTTCGCGCCGCACACATTCGTCCTAAGCTTTTGCACGAATTTCATGAATTGAGGGCGGTCCGCTTTCAAAATGAGGCCTTCGCTTTAGCGCCGCGCAAATTCGTCTGGCAACATTGCAGGCAAGTTTCACTGACGGAGGGCGGTACTCGCCATAGCACCGCGCACAGTCGTCTTTAGTTTACGGCCGATTCAGGAACTTGAATGGCGAGCTTCCCAGAAATTGCGTTCTGAGAAGATGTAGGACTGTCAGGGCGCAACAGTTAAGTTGACTCACGGTGTTGAAGTCTCAAGAATGGTGTTCTGGCACGATTCAGCATCGTCAAGACGCAACAGTAAATTTGCTTGGTGGCGTTGAAGTCACAGGAGTGGTGCTCTGGTACGGTTCAATATTTTAGACTGTTGTCTTCCAACGGGGCACTTCACTCAGTGGAAATGAATCCTTTTAGGGGCCTGTGAAGAGGGAGCTTGGAGAGAGGGTTTGATGCAACACCTTTGATGAATATCGGGTTTACACTGGTCATCCTCCTCCTCCTCCTCCGCTGGTTCCTCCTTCATCCTTTCCCTCTCGGGGTACGGCGGCTTCCCAAGCTTTCTTCCACTGCGTGCTCCCCCACGTGCCTGATCTGGGCAACTCGCCCGGGCATCGTCTCTGGATGGGCTTGTGGATTGCGCGAAGCGTCTAGAATTTTCATCATGCCACAAAGCTTAAAAACGGGCCCAGAGGGTTCCAAGATGCCCCCGAGACGGTCCAAGAGGCCCCAGAAACAAGAAACAGCTCAAGAGCACCTAAAGACGGCCTGATGACCTCAAGACGGTCCAGTTCCCCCCCAAGACGCCCCAGGAAGGCTCCCAGAGGATTCCATGGCCAAAAGAGGCTCCAAGAGGCCCCCTTGAGGCCAGTCAAGAAGACCCAGATAAAAGGCCGCGATGAGAAATATGCTTGATTCGCCCGAATTTGAGCAGGGACCGACCGTCCTGGCATTCCTATAGCCCTACCACGAAATGTTCTTAGATCACCAAAATGCTCTGAGAGCAGAAACAATGTTCTTAGAACATTAACCCAATGTGTTCAACCAAGACAGTCTCAATCAGACATGTTCTAAGAACATTTCGTGCAAACCATGGAAAGTTCTTAGAACATTCTTTGATGGGCCTATAGGCGAGCTGGGACACCTCGCCACTGCTTGACAAATCTCGATTCGCCCGAATCTCAATTCGCCCGAATCTCGATTCGCCGAATCCCGATTCGCCCAGCTCGAAATGCCCCAGCTCGATTCGCCCGGCTCGATTCGCCGAGGCTTTATTCGCCCAACTCGATTCACCCGGCTCGATTCACCCGGCTCGATTCGCCCGAGTCTCGATTCGCCCGAGTCTCGATTCGCAAGGCTTGCATCGCCAAGGTCGATTCGCCCCAGCCCGAACCGCCCAGCTCGATTCGCCTGGCTCGATTCGCCCCAGCTCGAATCGCCCAACTCGATTCCCCCGGCTTGATTTGCCCCAACTTGAATCGCCCAACTCGATTCGCCCGATTCGCCCAGTTCGATTCGCCCGGGCTCGAGTCGCCCGGCTCGATTCGCCTGGGGCTCGATTCGCCCAAGTCTCGATTCGCTCAGGGCTCGATTCGCCCTGCTCGATTGGCCCGCCTGACCCGACGCGCGCTTTAAGGTGCGCCCGTCCGATCCGACCTGCCAATTAGGGTTCGCGCGTTCTGAGTCGATGCTGCGTTCTACTTTGATTTCCCGCCCAGCAGACTCGACTTGCCCGTCAAGGTCCGCCCGCCCGACCCGACACGCCCGTTTATGTCCGCCCGCCCGATCCGACCCGCCCGTCAGGGTTCGCGTGTGCCAAGTCGATGATGCGTCCTACTTGTGTGTCCCGCCCAGCAGACACGACCCGCCCGTTGGGGTTCACGCGTGCTAACTCGACGATGCGTCCTACTTTAATGTCCCGCCCACCTGACCCGACCAGCCCGTTAGGGTCCGCCCGCCCGACCCGACCCGCCCCTAAGGGTCCGCCCGCCCGATCCGACCCGCCCGTGAGGGTTCGCGCGTGCTAAGTCGATGCTGCTTCCTGCTTTACCCGCATGATCTGACCCGCCCGTCAGGGTCCGCCGGACCCGACGCGCCCGTTTGGGTCCGTCCGACCGACCCGACCCGCCTATTAGGTCTCGCGTGCTAACTCGATGATGCGTCATGCTTCAATGTCCCGCCCGACCCGACCCGCCCGTCAGGGTCCGCCCGCCCGACCCGACCCCCCTGTCGTAGAGTTCGCCCGCCTGCTCCCCCTCCTCCACCTCTGGATCCTTCACGCGCCCGGCGAAGCGAGCCTCGGCGAATCAAGCCCCGGCGGAACGAGCCCCGGCGGAACGAACTCTGGCGAAACGAGCCCAGGCGAAACGAGACTCCGGCGAAACGAAATTCTGGCGAAACAAACCTCTGAGAAACGAGCCCAAGCGAACGAGACTCCGGCGAAACGAGAATCCTGCGAGACGAGACCCCAGCGAAACGAGACTCCGGCGAAACGAGATTCCGGCGAAAGCAGCCCTGGCGAAACGAGACGGGCAAACCAAGCCCTGCAGCGAACCGAGCCTCGGCGAACCGAGCTGGGCGAATCTAGTCGGGCGAACGGAGCCCCGGCGAAGCGAGCCCCGGCGAACCGCGACTCTGGTGAATCGTGTCCGTGCTCTCGATAATGCCTCTGCCCCACGATCCAAGCAGTGGCGGGAGGGGTCGAAGAATGCCAAGTCACTTGTCTCCTTGGAGTGGGAGACGTCTTGGGACTTGAAAGCCCCGGCGAGCGAACGAGCGCGACAATCCCCCAAGCCGCCGCTCACTCCAGCAGCTGCACCGTGCCGCGCAGGACCCGGGGGGTGGGTAGCCGAATCGCTGTGAGGCCTTGGTCTGCGCGGTTACCCTGCAGCGAGCGCAATGCCACCTCTTGGCACGCCCGAGTGGGGACGGGCAACATGGGGACGATGCCCAACAACAAACGTTTACAGGCGGACCTAGGACAGAAAGACATCCTTCACTAACACGAGGCCCTGCGCTGGCCATACTAGGGAACAACTGGGGTACCCTCCCCGAACCGTCCTCGATCTTATCACCTCGGTCTGACCGTAAGGTTGCCAAAGACCTGCAGCGGCCGCTGTAATTAGGGCAGAAGGCGTTCGTCCCAAATGGCCAACGTCCGCGGCGACACCGACGACGAATCTGGTTCAAGACTGCCGAAGAACTGCTGTCGGCCTTCCAGGACAACCGACTGCGTGATTTCTTCACGTGGCTCCCCAAACCTCTGGACCACTTCCCAAGGACTGGTCCTGCAGCCGGGGTCTTTCTTCGATGGCCCCATGGGGCCTCGCAAAAGCCCCAAGAGGCAGAACTTACCGAGGACTACCGCGAACCAAACAATGTTGCCATCTCTTGGGGGCGCATCTTTTACTTCAGCGGACTTCCGCCGGCGGAGGCGGTCTCGTTTTACTTCCGCCAGCTTCCGCCACCCTTCCGCCGAGGAGATGGCAACTCCTTCGGTTCTCTCAGGCGAGGCCGTTTCGGGAACCCGCCATGCCTGGCGACTGCTGTCGGTCTTCGCCCCCGTTCCCCCCGTCCTCCTTTCGATCGCACCGAGCCTCCCGCGACCGGCCCAGCGGGCAGCCCGGCAGCATGCCGAGCACCACGTGGGGGACGCTGTGGGCGCACGGCACCTCCGGCGGCAAGGTCACGGTGCCGCAGGCGACGTCCTCCGCGACGATGATCTCACACATCGTCACCTCGAAAGACTTCCCCCGCAACGCCTCTCGGGGAGAACGGAAAGGGGGATGAGCATCGCTTACCTATCCCTATCCCCACTGGCGTGGTGTGGACCCACTGGCCGATTTCCCCCCCACTGTAAGCTGTTCCCTTCGGATTTCGAGGGGCCTATCCCCCAACTAGGGGGGTGGATGGTGGGGCTGAGATGCCATCATACAATGACCCAGTGGGGATGGGGATATGTTGCAGTCGGACCTAGGCCAGAAGAACATCAAACAAGAACATGAGACCCTCGTCGACAAAGACAAACCGAACATCCAAGGGTACCCTCCCCAGGATGCACAAGAAACTCCAACAAACACTAAGAACACTAACGTACTCTCCCCGAACCGACCTCGATCTTACACCTCGATCCGACTGTAAACGAGACGGAGGGGAGGGGGCTTTACAGTCGGGACTGGCTGCAGAGGACGCCCGAGAGGGCGCATGACTCATTCTTTTATTATTTGTTTTTGCTTTCGGCGGAACGCCCCTCCCCCCCCTCCCCCCCCCCCCGTAGAGAAGTTCCGGGCTGATTTTGGCACCTGCTTCAATCGATCGGACGAACTACAGGGGCCGGCGCCCCCCCCCCCTCCCCCGGTAGAAACTCGAATCGCTGATGTGTGCAACTGTGCGCATTTTATCGTGCTACTCTTCTGGAACCACAACGAAAGGGCTCAGGGGCGCCAGACCCGATCGCCAGAAAGCATGCCTCCGGCTGGGCCCTCCCCTGTTATGCCAGCGACGGCCTCGTGGAATCATGAATAGGTGATCCCTAGCAATTCTGGCACAGGCTTGCCAAATCACGCATAGCCTTGGCGCAGCCCCGCGCAGCCGCTGCGCGATTCCCCCATGGGGGGTCTCCCCTAGGATTCCCTCATCGGCATCTCCCACAGGATTCCCCACATGATTCAATCGGAGGCATTGACTACGGGCCGAGAGCCGGACCCCCCCCCCTCCCCCCCATGCGCCTAAAGCCGGAACCCAGAATAAAAAAATGCTCACGGACTCCCTGGGGCAGCCCTGGCCCCAGACATGAAGACGTGAGACGCGATTGGCAAGGCACATCTTCAAGCCCGCGGGCGCCAGGGTGTGCGACGGTCAAGCGCCTGTCAAAGCGAGCGGTGGGCTGCACCGGAAGTTAGTGCAGGCACAAAGCGGAAGAGCAAGAGACGAGAGAACAAGGCAAAGACGAAGTCCGATCAGACCCTTGTGTCCTGCGTGTTGACAGGGCACAAGGGTGCCTCTGATGTTGCAGGTGCGAGCTGCGAATCAGACCCGACTGCAGTGAGAGGAAGGCCCAGAAGTCAGCAACATGCAGCTGGGCTCCTCGAGAGGCGTTACTTTTCTGAGAACGTCAAAGGTCTGGAACCCTCCCCGGGGACCGGCTTTTCACCTCGAGTCGATCTCCGGCGGCTCGGGGGCCTGGTGAGGGCCCCCTGGAAGCCGAAATTGCCCCAAGGCCCAGCGCCGACACGAGGAATCCGCGCGGGCCTCCGAGAATTAATCCTTATGCAGTGTTTCGTGCTTCGAGAACTTTGAGAGGAGCAGCAGGACGAGGACGAGGAGCAGCAGAACGAGGACGAGGACTGCGTCCTCGTCCTCGCTCCTCCCCACCTACTGCTTCTCCTCGTCCTCCTCGTCCCCCTGGATTTTGAGATGAGGGGCAACGATGCGGGGGGGACTGGCCAAGGGGCGGGCACATCGACCTGGAGTCGGCGTTATATCGCCGATAGATCGGCGATAGGTCCCCGACAGCGAATCCGCACCTTCCTGGGCTGGATCAATGGGCGATCTGGGGTCGGGTCGATGCATCCCCCCCTGTGCCTATCCCCTAACGTTAATGGTTCTCGGGTCAGAACTCGGGCCTCAAGCAGCCGTCTGGAACGGCTCTGGCACCCCCAGAACGCCTTCGGCGAGGCGCAACTGCTGGAACGCGGCCGCGAAGCGAGGACGACGACCGGAAACGTAACGTCTCCCTCGAGCCTGTGCCTATCCCCCCCGACCGGGGCCCCCCGACGAGAGCCCTGCCCCGCAACGCCTCCATCGCCCCGCCCGCGAGGCGGGGGGGAACGGCCCCGCCCGCGCCCGCGCCGACGAGCTCCGCGTGCGGGCGCGCGGGCGGCGCGAAGCCGGCGGGGAGGAGCTGCTGGGCGCCCTGCGCGAGGATGCCGGAGACCTCTGCGCAGAGGGCAGCTCGGGCGGTCGGCAGCGGTGAGGGGCAACGGTAAGGGGGGGACTGGCATTAGGGGGGGATGCATCGACCTGGAATCGGCGATACATCGCTGATGGATCGGCGATAGGCCCCCGACAGCGAATCCGAACCTTCCTGGGCAGGTTGGGGCTATCGGGCCCCTATCGGCGATCAATGGGCGATTGGGGGTCGATGCATCCCCCCATACGCCTATCCCCCCCTGTCGTTGCCCCCGAAATAGGGGGTGACCCAGATGGGGTTAGGGCCCCAGCTATGAGGGGGCCACTCCGGGCCGGGCCCCTCTTGGAGCCAGCAGGGGCCCCTCTCTTCACCCCCCCCATGTAGGTCCCCCCCCCCCCTGACGACCCGCCTGAGTAGCGGCACACCGCCGCAGTGCCCGGCCGGGACCATCCTGGGCCCTGCGGTGCCCTGGCAACGTGATGCGCTCATCGTCGATCTGTTTGCTTGCTGGGCGGCGAGCGAGGGGGGGGAAAATGAGAAGGAGAAGGCCTTCTGAGAAGGCTCGGAAGTCTCCCGGCCTTCTGAGAAGTCTTCCAAACCTGCCCCGACGACACACGAGGGCTTCGGAGAAGTCCCGCCGCTTTCTGGGAAGGCCTTCTCCTTCTCACCCCCCCCTCGCTCGCCGCCAGTTTGCGCCGCAACTGGCGTTTCGTGGCTTTTGGCCTCTGGTGGGGGCCGTCTTCGGGCCCTGGGGCTGAAGATCCACACTCGGGTCGGGCGAAAGGGAGGGATAGCCAAGCGGGGGTTTGAGAATCAGCTCACGTAGCTGATCTTCCCGGCGCCTCCCAGCGCCAGAGGCGGCTACGTATCGAGGAATGGGCCCCTCGGTGGGGCCGAAACCAGCTGCATGCAGCAAATTTCGTAACTTGGTAGTCCCCAAACGTGGTGGTGACAACACCTGGCGGTGAGTCTCGGGCGATTTGATGTCACCACCCGGTTTGGGGACTCGTGCGGTTTTCCGAGGATGTCCCGGACACTGGTGGGCCCAGGAGTCACAAGACCCGGTGGTGACCCCGCGTCCCCAAACCCAGCGGTGACCTTTTTGGGGATTCCAGGTCGCCACCTGGTATCTCACCACCCGGTTTGGGGGTTCCCGAGTACCCCCCCTTTCCCAACCCCCCCACCCGGGGACCGCCGCCGAACGTTGCTTCGACGCGACCTGCAGACGCTGCGCGGCTCTGCCGGGGAGCCCATGGGATGGTACGTGCGCCCGCCTGGCCTCGGCCAGGCGGGTACAGTCGAGGCGCTGCCAGAAGGAACGCCAAATCCGCCGACCCTGTCGGCGTGTGGAAGATGCTTTTCCGTTCGTCGTGAACGTCGTCGTCGTCGTCGTCGTCGTCGTCGTCGTCGTCGTCGTCGTCGCCGCCGCCGTCGTCGTCGTCGTCGTCGTCGTCGTCGTCGTCGTCGTCGTCGTCGTCGTCGTCGATGCTCTTCCGTTCGTCGTCGTCGTCGTCGTCGTCGTCGTCGCCCTCCCCTCAGGCGCGCCAGCCAGAGCGGAAGCAAAGCGAAATCGAGCAACGTCGTAGCTGAGTCGAAGACAAAGCGAAATTGAGCAACGTCGTAGCTGAGTCGAAGGGAAGCCCCTTCCCTTTGATCCGTTCCCCGAGGGGGGGGGGGGGGGTCCCGGGGGGGGTCCCAGGGGGGTGGTCCTGGGGGGGGGTCCCGGGGGGGGGGCGGGGGACGCATCCCCCCCGGGATGTCCCGGGACTTAGAAAAGCCCCAAGACTGGCCAAGAGTGCCCCAAGAGACTTCCAAGACGGCTCCAGAGGGCCCCGAATCGCCGAACCATCGGTCGAAGACGCCAAAGTAGCCTCCAGACGGCCCAAGAGATTGCCAAGACGCTCCAAGAAGTCTCCAAGAGCACTCCCAAGAGGGCACGAAGAGGGAAAAATCAATGATATCCTTAAAGTTTTGGAGAGATCTTGGCGTTCTCGCCGTTTCAACTTGCCGACGCTCCAAGACGGCCCCAGATGCCCCCAAGATTGCCCCAAGATAGCCCAAGAGGCCTCAAGAGAGCCCCAAAATGACCCAAGAGAGCCTCAAGACCGTCCAAGATGCCTCCAAGATGGCCCCAGAGGCTCCCCAAACGGCTCCAACAGGGTGCCCAGACGGGGGGCCCGACGAGCCCTCGGCGACAGAGGCTCCCAGGAAGCCCCAAGATGCCCCCAAGAGTCCACCACGAGATCCCCAAGAGGCCCCCAGGAAGCCCCAAGAGGCCCACAGGAGCTTCCCAACACGTTCCCAAGAGGCTCCAAAGAGGCTGCCAAGATGCTCCCAATAGGCCCCAAAACTAGCCTTCAGAGGGCCCCCGAGAGCGCACCGAAGAGACTCAAAAACCATCCCTGAGGACTCTGACCCACGTCAACATCGTCGTCGTCGTCGTCGTCGTCGTCGTCGGCCAAAGACGCCCCCGAGAAAGCCTCACGATTGCCAACAACGGCCCCAACACGACCCCCCCCACACGAGACCCAAAGATACCCCCAAGAGGCCCCCCCCGCCGCCACATTATCAGGGGGACGTAAGACCTGGGTACAGGGGACTCGGAAATCCCCGACGAGGTCGTCAAAAAAATGACGAGGCCGAACCTGCATTTTGACGAGGCCTCCCGCTGCAGACATCCCACGAAACTCCTCCTCGTCAAAATCCGAGGCGCGGTCGTCAAAAAACGATGGCGAACCCGAGTCCTGGCAAACCCGGGTCTTACGCTCCCCCGACATTAGAGAACGCATGGGTCGCCCTCCAGGGTCGGCGGCACCGGCCGCAAGGCCTTCGCAATTAGGAACGAGGGGGCTTTTCGGGCCACGGCGGGCCTAGGCCACAAACAAATCCCGTGGCATAAACCTTCAAGAACGACCCAAACGCCCGAGCCCCTTCCGAGCCCAAGGCGGCCCTTCTTTCAGCGCCTTGGCTGTACAGCAGGGGCTCGTCCACGAGAACCCGTCCACCAGAAACCCAACCCTGAGACCCCAGGGCGTCCACTGACTTTCGGTGTGGGCACGCCGCGCCTTCCACAGCAAAACCACCGGAGCCCAAGAGACCCAGGGCACCCTGAAGGCAGGCAGTGCGTCTCCTGGCATGGGTCTCCACTGTGTGCACCACCCTGGGGGCCCAAGACGGTCCTGGCCAGGCACGGTGGAGTACATGCGCCTTCTGCGGGACCTCGGGCAGGTCCATGATCCAGCAGGGCCCGCCCGCGGCCTGGCCGTGCGCCAGAGTCGGCCGCATGCAGGGGTGCCCCCAGGCCAAGAACTACCCTCAGGTCGGGCATGTCCTCCTACTGGCGGATGCTCGACGACTACTAACAACACATACGCAACACATGCTCAACAATAGTCCCCAACGGCAAGGAAAATCGCCCCCAGACTATTTTCTGACTACTTTGGAAGATTCCTCCTGTAGAGGGACATGCCCGACATAAAAAACTACCTTGTGGTGTGCAGCTTGCCCAATCGCTGCGTGCGGTGCGACAAAGGCGACCCGCGCGCTCGGGCTAGCCCCCCCCCGGCCCCCGCAGCCCCTCGGGCTGGGCGAAAGAGGGGGATAGCAAAGTGGGGGTCTGAGAATCAACTCGCGTAGCTGATTTTCCCAGCGCCTCCGGCGCCGGAGGCGGCTATGTATCAAGGAATGGGCCCCGCGCACCAGAGGGTCACTCCGGCGAAGGGCTCACTGTCCTGACGGGCGTGCAGCCGCCAGGGGGGGGCCCGAGGGAGAGGGCTTCTGGGCTCTGGGCCCCCCACGGCTTCCTTGGAGCCCCCCTCGTACGGCGAAGGGTCACTGTCCTTCCGTACGTGCAGCCGCCAGGGGGGGCCCCGAGGGAGAGAAGGGTTTCTGGGCTCTGGGCCCCCCACGGCTTCCTTGGAGCCCCCCCGCAACCTCCCCTGGCAAACCTCTGCCCTCGGCTCTCGTCTGTCCAAAAGACGGCCCTCCAACAGTCTGGACCTCCTCCTTGCCCAGGGGCCGACTTGTCACCCCGAGCCGTGTTTCGACGACCCAACTTCCCGGATAGGAGGAGGGAGGAGGAGGAGGAGGAGGAGGAGGAAGCGGCTGCAGAGCCCCTGCCCCTCGGGAGCCCTCTGGGCCAGCGGCGATCGTCGCAAGGCCCTCCTGGCCCGCCCGGCAGAACAAAACAACTGCACACCCGAGCGACAACTTTCCGACGTCCGCGCCGCGCGGACTTCGGAACGTATGTACTCCTCCTGTGTTCTCTTTTCGCCTCGGGCCCCTGGGGCCTCCCACGGGCCCCAGGGCCATCAAACAACGACTTAGGATCAATAGTTGGGCCCTGGGGGAGCCCCGAGAACTAAGACCCATTTGCCTCCCTGACCTTCGAAAAAGGGCAGACAAGAAAACATCTGGTCTTTTGAACCCAAGCTCCAGTACAGGCTACAGTCAACTCGCATAACAAGGATGCGCGGTAAAGATAGAGGCTTCGGAATAACGTTTTTGGAAGCGCGGCCGCAAACCGAAGGATGCAAACGGTACTCAACAATCTTGCCGAATTGATACCTGGGCCAACAACAAGGTCAACGCAAGGATGCAAAGATACCCTTGGATGCCGCGCGTCCCTTTGGACACGGCACCTACCCTCAAAAGGCATCTCTGGGCGGTGCCTACGGCAAGGACGCGCAAGGGCGCCCTGCTCGGCCCGCGTGCTTCAACTTTGCTCCCCAGATGCGCGACGGTGCGCACAGTGCAGCCGCAAGGATACGCCAGGGCGCTCCTCCTGGCACGCATCTTCAGCGACGCCCCCAAGGTGCGCGAGGCGGTGCAGTTTGCGGCGGCCAGCATGCGCAGGGGCGCCCTGCCAGTCCACCATCCAAAACCAGGCACTGCGCAAGTGACCCGCGGGCGGGTGGGTCCGCGGGAAATCCGTTGAGACAAACCAATCGGTCCACTTGCCTTCTGGGGCTTCACATCAGGTGGTGTATTCAACCCAATACATGTCCTGCGTGAAGCAGACACCACACAGGTGACCCACGGGCGGGCGGGTCACCCGAAAACTGGTTCAGAGAAACCAGCTGTTTCGCTTGCGTTCCTGGTCCCAACATGAGATGGTGCATTCCCAACCGATACATTTCCCGCACGAAGCAGGCACCACGCACGTGACACACGGGCGGGTGGTTCATCCGAAAATTGGTTCGGAAACAATAGTTGTTCACCTTACATCCTGGGCTCCATCATGAGGTGTTGCACTCCCACACACTACTTTACCCGCATGAAGCACGCAGCACGCAATTAACTCACAGGCGGGCGGGTCACCCGAATACTGGTGGAGAAAAGCTAACTGTTTGACTTGCACTCTGGCCTCAACACATGAGGTGCTCTATGGGTATATATATATTATATACACATACATACATACACTAGAACCATCGCGCGCGCTTCGCGCGCGCGCGCTCAAATTCTAGCTGGGCTTGATGGGCTAACTCATGAAATCTCATGTTCGTCGTTTCTTGCATCCAAGAGCTCTCTTGGAAGCCCTGCGCAAGCCTCGGAAACGTATAGAAGCGGAACGGTGGAAACGCAGAAACCATCAATTGTTGTTAGGTGTTCAACGATTTGGAGCCCTCAAAGGCTTCCCGGGTTCTTTTCTGGGAGCTGAAGGGGGGCCTTAAGTGTGGTCTGTTGCGTAAGAATATACAAGGGGCGAACTTGGAACAAACACAAGTGCGGGATGTCCAAATTGTTTCAAGTTGCCGTGCCTGGGCCGTGGGTTAAACCACATCGGGATGCATGCCACGGTCTGTTGGGATGCCTCTCGGGGCCTTCGTGCAACAATAAGCAGCGGGTGAGTTTGAAACACAACAGGGTTCTAACATTACTTTTTTCCAACTCATGTGATCATGGGATCGCGATTTCTACGGTGGTTCCAGGGGCAGCCGATAGGACAAGGAGACGATCCAAGAGAGTGCCAAAACAGCGTCAGAGAGTTCAACAACATTCCCGAACCATCTTCGCATGTGACCCCGAAGTCTTGATGCGACTTGAGGAGGAGGATAGGGAGTAGGAGTCCCAATTTGAAGAACAAACGAAATCTCTGGAGTTCCCTGTTCTTCAAGTTCCTCCGACTTTAAGCGTTGGAAGCGGGAAAACGTGAGAAGGGGACACACGTCGAAAACACCAGTGGAAATCAACGATGCTACCCTCTTCGGGCTCTCTCGGGACTGCTCTCGAAGCTCTCTTGTGCTGTTTTTGAAGCCTCGTCGAGGCTTTTTTGGGGCCTCTCAGGGGTCTTGGGTGTGTTGGGGTTCTCTGGGGGATTCTGAAGTCCTCTCGGAGGTCTCTGGAGGCCTCCTGCTCCCAGTCTTGGGCTCATCTTGGGCCTGTTCTGGGCTGGTTTCGAGCGTCCTGGGCGCCTCTTCGGCAACCTCGGGGCCTTCTTGGCCCGTATTGGGGCCGTTTTGGGAACCTCTTGGGCGGTCTTGGGGCGGTCTTGGGGGCCTCTTCGGACGTGTTGGAACGTGAGAAGGCCAAAAGCATCTCTGGGCGCTCTCGGGAGGCCTCTCGGAGCTCTCTTGAGGTCTCTTGGAAGCCTCCTGGGAGCCTGGAGAGCCGCGCGGAAGCTATCTTGGGTTGCTTGGGAGCGTCTCGGGCCGTTCTATTACGTTTTGGTGGCTTCTTGGGGTCGTCTTGGTCTGCCCGTGGGAGTTTTGGGGGCTCTCCGGGAGGCTGGGAAGCGCGGTACCAAGAGCGTAACGCAGACGTCACAGGGAGGTGTAGGACCCCCGGGAGGGGGGAGGGTATTTGCCCATATCTTATATATAAATTACACATACCCGCTCGATACGTTTCCCGTATGAAGCAGGCACCACGGGCGGGTGAGCCACCCGAAAACTTGTTTGTTTCAACTGGCATCCTGGGCCCTAGCATGAGATGATTACTTCCGATTCAAAACATTTCCTGCATGAAGCAGGCGCCGCGTTGGTGAACCACGGGCGGGTGGGTCAGCCGAAAACTGGTTAAGAAAAAACAATTGTCAAGTTTTCCACTAGCCTCCTGGGCCAACATGAGGCGATGTATTCCAGCCATATACGTTTCCCGCATAAAGCAGGCACCACGCAAGTGACTCACGGGGGGGTGGGTCATCCCTCGGCCTCCAATCGCCTGCTATCCGACGCGGTGTAGACTGCGCCTGCAAGGATACGCCGCGACCTCAGCGAATGTGAGGGCGACAAAGACGGACCCGAGGATGGCCAAGGGCTAAGGGGGCCTAGCACAACCAACATCCTTTGGGCTCGGCCCACAAGGGCGTCGCACCGCGCAACCGAAGGATGCAACCCGCCCCTAAGGAACCGGCCAACGAAAGTTGCCAAAAATGGGCCGAAGGGGCAAGGATGCAAGGGCAACCTTGGAAAATTGCTCATCCCTTCTATGCGACCTGACTGCGCTCTGTTCTGTAAAGCGTATTATCTCTAGCACTCTGGAAATTCAGGGCTCAGGACCCCGCTCCGTCATGGCAACTGCCTCGCAAACCACCAATTCGCCGGCCTCGGCGCCAACTCCTGATGGAATTTTTTCGTGACCTCGGCTTTCATCTTCGACCGCTCCCCCGGGCCGCCCCTTCATCCTGAGCCAATGGTGGGGAGGCGGCCCCCTCAGCCGACAAAGACGAACCATTTGCCGACTCTCCGTTTGTGTGACGCCGTGGTCTGAGGACCCAGCCTGCAGTCTCGAGGGGCCGCGCAGATTTCCTCGACCGGCGACAGACACTCCTCTGGCGCGCGGAGCGTTCCGAAAATCTGCGCGGATCTCCGAACGTGTATGTTGATGAATTTTTCAATCTTACGAGCCTCGCCAGCCGCAATCGATGTTTGTGGGCCCTGAGGCGGCCGAAACCAGATAACAAGGTCCCGCTTTGATTTGTCAAGGCGTTGGAAGGCTGGGCTTCCTTCATAGCGACAACCTCGCCAGTCGCAATCTCGAAGGCCCGCACGGAACTCCGAATGTCTATTCGGGGAGACGTTAGGTTGGACTTTCTGAGACTCGAACTGCCTAACGGCCCGGCAAAAAAATTGAGGGACCGAATCTGAAAATTGACGCGAACTCCCGCTGCAAACACCTCACGAATACTGGACCGTCAAAATTCGTGCCAGGACGGTCAAAAGAGCGGCGGCAAAAAAACGAGTTCTGGCACACCCAAATCTTACGCTCCCTGACTCATGTTTAACTTTGCCGTTCTGTCTTCCTCGAGCATCGTC